ACTCCCAAGTCCTTCTCTTCAGAGCTGGTCCTTCCTTTCTCCTCAGACCACTTAAAATTCTTTTATTTGGTTTATGCATTTCACTCTTACCATCCACAAGATTTTAAAACGTATGTAAAATTCTGTTTCTGCCCAATACTGCACCTTCCCCAAGTTGGAAACATCAAAAAGGTAACAGTTACTGAAGGGAAAGCTGCTAAATTAAAATTAGAACAATTCAGTCTCATTACTGAGCAGAATAAGTGTTGTAATATAAACCATAAATCCAACATAAAAATGAATCATAAAACTCAAATGTGATAGTTGTGCACAACTCAGAGTTTACAATGTCACTTACATACTCACCATTTAACTACACATATATAAAGGCAATAAAAGTCCTATTTTTAGGCTTAGTAGGTGACCAGAGAGAAAGAAAATATTTAATTGAGTAACACCATAAAAATCCCAGTCCATTTGATTACTGATATAATATAAGAGGTTAAGCAAAATTTATTACCTGGTATCTCTGTAGCGAGAACTTGACTGAGGAGGGCTGTGATTTAATCTTCTAGAAAACTTTTTCTCACGCTCTTCTTCTTTAACTATCTGAATTTAAAGTATATACATTACATCAAAATGTGAGTACACTATCATGGACACTTCTGCACAATCCAATAAAACAAAAAACCTCAAAATGCTGAGCAAAGTCAGCAGTAATATTAAACTGAAACATTTTTGTAATTAGAGAATCTTCGTAACATATTTAATTTCTATTTATAGTAATATTCAAAGGTATTGGGTTGGGAGAAAATAAAGCAGAATAAGCAATTCTTATTGTGTTGCACTGAAAATACATCTGCTTTTACTACAAGTGGACAAAAATCTGTACTAAGGTGCAGTGACAGATCTGGGAAAACGTGACTATTCAGTGATTGACACAGTGAGGTCTTTTCTTCATCAGCAGGTTAGTTGGTTCAGATCACAGTTAAGGACAAACCTGCTCTTGTGGCTCAAAGGATATAAACACTTGTGTTGGAATAAGGATGTTATCTGGATCAAGCAGCTGCAGGAATGAGGACTGCCATCTGGAATTGCAGCCTGGAATTATGCTGAATTAAAGAGCAACATAACTACAACAGCAATCCTGAGCAAAGAACTAATGTAGGTTGTACTGCAACTCCTACACTACTCAATAACTTTATTTACATTTGCCTAGTCAGAACCACTTTCATTTACCTTTGAGGCACCCACTTATCTTTAAGAAAAATGGTGCAGCAGAACTCAACATACTGGGCAAAAATCTTCTGACATATTTTAATGCTGTAGTATAAGTTTTGGAACTATTATTAATAAATGAATAAGCATAATGAAGTTGAACCACATGAGCAAGTTACAAGAATGAGGAAAAAAGACATAAATTTAGAATAAAATCAATGCCCACCTCTTCTTTTTTTGTCTCTTTTTCTTGGTGCTGAAAAAATTCTACTTTCAGGCTTCCTGACGATGGCTGTTCTGGTGGAGGTAGATAGCTTTTTGTATTCACAGCATCAAACAGTTTTTCCACAAATATCTGAGTTTCTAAAAGTAAAGAATGTACAAATATCCATTATCCAAAACTTCAATTAACATTTGCTTTAAAAATAACTTAAACACACATACAAAAAAATCAACATTTATCAAATAGTTAAAGCAATGAAGAATTTTTTTTAAATATTCTGCTGCTAATTTTATATTTAAAAGGGACATTTACAGAGTCAAGAAGCATGTCAGTAATGACAATGTTTCATAAAGGTTTTCAATCACTTAATTATTTAATACCTCTTAATAAAACAGCCAAAAGAATATTTCTGGAATATACAGACAGCTCAAATACTTCTAATTCTGTCAATAACTCTTAACATTCGTAATTTTCTTCCAGGAATACCAACAGACACAAAATATATACCAAATATATGCATAATGTGCTATGCATCTGTTTTTTAAAACAGGTTATTTAATGAAATTTGAATTACATACTTCTAAGTAACAAAGGTGGTAAAGAGACAAAGGCATGATCCCATGGTAACACTGTTTGATTGTACTAAATAAAACAAACTTTTCACTCAGACTTCACTGTTATGACAAAGACCATACCTTTCTGAAGAAAGACATCCAGCTGATCAACACACAGTGCCTTCAGTTCCTTTTCACTTTTATCCTTCTTTACCAAAGCCAGAACATATTTAGCTAGGGCAGATGGATCTGCATCACATCTGCAAATAGATTAATTAAAAAAAAAAAAAAAAAAAGCAGTTAGATTATACAGAAGTTAGTGTCTGAAATTGGTATAACCAATACACAGAGAGGACCAAAACCTTTCCTAACAAAGTAACTGAAAAACACTCATGGGTACTTTTTTAAGAAAGAGTCCAGATTTGTAAGATCATTAAGTATCAACTTTATTTTACAGAGAAGCAATTGCCTAGAATATTTCCAAACAATATTTCATGGAGCACTTCATAGGAAACTAAAAAAAACCCCCAACAAACTACCTAGAATGAAATAGCTCCAACTGCCTAAACCTTAAAAAAAATTACAGGTACAACAAATACTTCCATAATTTCCCAATGATTAAATACGTAATTCTGAGTGTAATACTAAGTGACTGTTAACAGGGAAAAGTCAGTCCACCTAATTACAAATTATTACCATGATACAGCAGAAATGATCTATGCTATAAAAAAAATTCAGACTCTCAAGAGAGGCTCTTTCTCTTAAATTCGTTTTTAAAGAATCTTATTACTACCTACATATCAACACCGTAAAAAGCAGATTAACTGAAAAATCTTAATTTCAAAACCCTAAGGAAAAAGTGTTCATATAATATTATCACAGAAATCTCCATAAGAGGTACACAGACAATGAAGTGAAATACAGGGGATCATTATCTGTTTTAGACATCTAAATTCAATCTAAAATTAAGTATGGAACACTTCAGTGTAGAAGCTGATGGCCTCACACACATTAACAAAGAACTTTGAGTAAGCTGTATATTCACATTAAGTAGAACATTATTTAAGATAACTGATATAATTTTATTATAATGTTTCATGAACTGTAATCTACAATGACCTTGTAATTGTATTATAGAGTAAAAACCTGCCAAAGCAAGCGAGAATGCAGCAGAAAACCATTCCATGCTTCATAATTCAAAACCAGTAACTAATGAAACAGAGACCGGTTTACCAGGCAAAACAGCAGCATGTTCTTTAACCATTTAAACTCAATATTTATCATAAAACAAAGGAAGAGCTCAGACCCCATAAAACCAGGCAAGATTTAACACAGAGTCACCTGATACAGACAGCTAGCTTATTTGCATGGTGACCAAAGTTAATACTCATGTTTTAAAGAACTACAGCAAGAGGAAAAAGATTGCACTGACCCATCCTAACTTTAGCACATTCTCTCTAGCAAAAATAACTGAGAAGTAAAATTATACTGCAACCAGGGAGTTGTACTGGATTTCAATATCACCCAAATACTGTTCCAGCACAGAAGTCCACTAGTCACAATGATGGAATAAAACTCCAGTTCCTAATCTCTTCCACACTAAAACAAGTGACATTTCAGTGCTGAAGCTTCATTATAAGTCTGAATGCTGATCATTTAAATGACGTGTATTTTAGACACTGGGAAGACAACAAATCCTTCACCATATCACGCTACCTAGTTCCTCTCTGCAAAGCAGCTATCTCCTGTGCGCCAAGCAACATCCGCCATGCAGAAGTAACTTGAGCTGCTAGGGGACACACCACAGTACTCTGTATTAGTCTGCATTATTCACAGAAACAGGAGGTGGGAGTTCACAATCAGTCTACATTCCAGAAGAACTTGCACATGCTAAACTGACAAAATATATACTGTTAATCACAAAAAAACCCCACAACAGACTACACATAGACTGAAAATTCTTCAGAGATGCTTTCCTTCAACCATCACATCTGGTTTGCTCTTGTTCAGATTTAACAATTCCTTATTCAGAAGAAAATGCTGTCCAAGCACCAAATCATCTCAGAAGCAGGCACATAAATAACCTCCTCCAGCAAGAGTGGTAGGACCGCACCGTCTCTTACAATGCTAACAGCTGAGCACACCATCCCAGCAGATTATCTGGAAGTGAAGCAGTGTTCATCGTAGGCTGCAGTGAGGGTTCTCGCCCAGTACAGCCCCCAGGAGGCCCTCAACACCAGCATTTCATAACATCTCAATGCTTGAATTTGCAGAATCATTTGGGTGGGTTTTGTTTTTACTGCTCCTTAATGCAACTTCAATGTCACTACAGAAGATTTTCAGTCCTCTCTCAGTTTCTAGTTGAATCACGCCTCAGAAAATTAGTGCGCTATGCTCATATGCTCTATCGATAGTCATAACAAGAAAATTTTTGGTGGAAGGGACACTTCACACGACAATCCTCAATTACTTTCTTCTCCTTTCTCTTCTCCACAAAAACCAGATAAAACATTACAAGATGAATTCTTTTATTTCAGTTTCCAAAAATTTGGCTCTCATCTCGTAATATGAACAGTCAGCTGTCACTGCTCAAAATCTGTTACAACTGATTTAAATTATGACACATGCACTCAAAATTATTTAGTGGAAAAAAAACGTCAGTGTATAAAGTAAAAACCCACTGCTGTCAGCTACTTCAAGGTACTTTAATTCTCCAGCTCCCACAGTAGTGACTATACAACAACCTCACATTCAGTTTAAAATAATTCCTCTCTCATGAGCAGGCCAGAAAATCTTGTCTGCAAAGTCACCTAGACTCCAAAAGGTGTAACAAAAAAATAAAATAATCAAACAAACCCAAAACCCAAACAAACAAACAAAAAATTGTTTAAAAACAACAATCTGTGCTTTCTCTCTTCCCCCTCAATGATGATTCTGGAAATCTTAGCAATATTGTCTACCTTAGAATTACCTCAGAATTTCAATCCATCCATCCATCCAACTCCAAGACACTCTGAATATCCACAATAAAAACGTACTTAAGTGTACTTTTAATTTCCAAAACACAGAATCACTGTCTCCTGTGCCACTGTCTTAGCATTTACCACTCTGTATGCAATACAACCACAGATGAACAATGCAAAATGTTCGCTCTCATAAGGCCCCACCTGGAGTACTGCATCCAGTTCTGGAGCCCCCATCACAAGAGAGACCTGGAGCAGCTAGAATGAGTCCAGAGGAGGCCACAAGGATGGCCAGAGCACTGTAGCACCTCTCCTATGAGGACAGGCTGAGAGAGTTGGGGCTGTTCAGCCTGGAGAAGAGAAGGCTCTGGGGAGATATTATAGCGGCCTCCCAATACCTGAAGGGGCCGACAAGAAAGCTGGGGAAGGACTTTTCATAAGGGCAGTTAATGACAAAACAAGGGGAAATGGCTTTAAGCTGAAAGAGGGCAGGTTTAGATTAGATATTAGGAAGAAATTCTTCACTGTGAGGGTGGTCAGACACTGGAACAGGTT